TTCTTCTGCCTAGCCTTTGCAGTCTGCTTTGCCTGTTCCTTGAAGAGAATCTCTCGAATGGATTCACGAAGCTTGTCGGGAGGCTGGAATTCGATTGCAAGGTCGTCACCCTCCAGGACTCTACGGACGAACTCGTCGGGTTGCTTCAGAAACTCTTGTACATAGTTAAGGAGGTAGATACCACAATCATAGCTGTTCTGTTGCTGTGGGAGGCCTGCGACCGTGTGTCCTATTGAACCAGGTGGGCGAACCTTCTTCTCCTTCCTCTCATAGATCTCAGCAACGAGATAGTCTCTCAACCTAGTACAGGTAGGAGAGTGTCTTTGGCCCATGGAATCTAGTGTAATGATCCTAGGCTCCGTGGGATCGAGTCTCCGAGATGCACGCTTATGAGTTTTGCTCTTCTTCCTTCCTAGGTGATTGGGATTTTCGCTGTTGAAAGTCGAGTCTGCCACCAGATAAGGTTGTGTTTGAGAGTTCTGAATGCTGTCCCCCAAGCTGACTGGCGGAGGGTTGTTTCGGTCAAAGAATCCGGGTTTGGGTGTTCCAATGGATGTTCTATTTTCCGTCGCATAGAAGGGGGTTTCTGCAGTCTGATCGACATGTCGGTTTTTGATGTCTTCCATAGAGGTATTTTGTGGCGACTCATCCAAAACGAAGTCACTATCCATATCGACGTCCTGTGAATCTGGAATCTCGATAATCTCATGATTCAAATTCTCTTTTCCATCAGAAGATTGTTCTCTCATAGAGTTGAGGCGTTCATGAGCAGTACTAGGATCAGACATAAGTACAGGTTGCTCAACGCCTAGGTCTAAAAGCTTTGAAGCATTACATATTATGGCCAAGTACCAATGAGAACTTTCATTGATGGGCACAATAATGTACCTGTATGATACGAGGTCAACTTTCCTCGTCCATCGTTTGACTGCTTCGTAATTTATACCCCTTGCCCCTTTTTGACTGTCCTTGCAGAGAGTTTTGTAGAAGAAGGTATTATGAATGTAGATTCGCTTCGCAACGTGAGGACTGTTCCGTTGCAGTTCAGACTCAAGGTATCGGAGATAGAATTCTATCAGGTTATCATTGAGAAACACCCCGTCGTCCAGCCTCTCGATATCGTCCTGGTGCACGGTAGCTTTGCCATGTTGGCTCTCATAGAATACCGAGCTGTGCCATTGTTTTGCCCAATCAGGATTTTCATAAGTCCATCGGTTTAGACACGGAACATCTTCTTCTAGGTTCATAATGTCGGTTAACACCCTGCTAGGAGATGGGTTTTGCCCTCGGCTGAAGAGAAACCGACTTCGGAGAGAACGAGTTGAGACGGACTGCTTTTCGCAGTCCATGGTTAGTGCTGAAGATTGGCAATTCCTTGGCGTTGATGAAAGATCGCTCGGCGTGAAATTATCAAGTTGTACGTCTTCGTGTGAATCTGCCTCGTTCCTGTTTGTGATAGCAGACGGAGTGCATTCACGTCCGTCCGAGCTTGATTTCAGGATTTGTTTGCTCTCCGGACAGCTAGACATGGAGGCAAACGGGGAAGTGGGTCTCGGATCAGGCCCTTCATTCACTCTTCTGGCTTCACACTCCTCATCCTCAGTATCTTGAATCTCGGTTTGAGCCTCTGATCTAAATTTCCTGATAATTTCCTCGTCGAGCATTCTCTTCGCACGAATGAAATAAGCATCTAACGTTTCTCTTTGCAGGCAGCATTAGCGGGTATTCCATACCGTGAAGGGCAAACTTACATCGTGACAAGATGCGTCTTCATTTTAGAATTGAACCGTGTCCACACTCTCCCGATACGTATTGGCGCAGCAGAAGAGGTTGATTGAAGTTCAAGATACCATCGTGCTTGGCCTTCGATGACATTCCTTTCATACGTATCAATCTTGATCTTGCTGCTGCCTTCAGCCCGCTGGATGTTGCTAAGCATCAATGGCTTAAATGTGACAGTATTGCTGGGATCCTGCTTGTCAAACACGTGCAAGAATCCATTTTTGAGATTCAAATGTGCCTCGAAGGTACTCCCTCGTGAAGATTCCCTTGCAAAACCGTGTACTGGATATAGCCTGGTTATATGATAGATCTCAACGTCTTGAGCATTATCGTCCTCGATGGTTTGGATTTTGTTGTCATGGTGAGACATCGTCGTTTGTGTCTTGGATTTCGAGCTATGCCGAGATCTTCTAGATCGACTTTCACTGAAACTAGCCCCCATCATTGGGCTCCCCGACGTCGCAAGCCCATCCGTGCTATCTTCCTCGCTGTCATTAACAACAAATGCTTTCGTACTCTGCATCTTTGTGCTTGATGTGGAAATGTGATGCGTCTTCTGTCTTTTTGCCGAAGGGGTTTGATCTGGACTCGACCAAGTACTCCTGGGGCATGTGTGGTTTGAGACGTTCTTGGTATGAGACGAGCTATGGCCGTTTCTCCTCCGAGGACTCATAATGATAGTCGATGACGGCACGGAAGAACCGCTAGAAGACCATGTGTGGGTGTTGGTCTCTCGCAAAGCTTCATCAGCTGCCCATGTAGGCGGTTCTGCCGGTAGAATGATCTGCAACGTGTGCTTAGGTCGTCCCACAGGTGAGGGGGGCAGGTATTCCTTTTCTGAGGAGTATTGTGGGTTTTGCGTGGTCTCGGAGGTGAGGTGGTTTGATATAGTGATGTCAACGGACTTGCTTCTGTGGCCGACCTTTTTATGTCCCCACAAACCTACCGGATCCCTTAAAGTGTCAAGACTTCGCCCCGTTTGCCGTTTGTGACGACTACCTTTTCTTGGTATCACCTTTAAAGCTCCATGATTCCCTTGTAAGTATCCTCCACCGTCTGCAGTTCCAGAGCCATCGAGGTATAATATCTCAGAGCGGTTTGGAGAGTCACCTGCAACCTTTCCTCTTTTGTTCGATTCTTCAACAGGAAACTCCGTGCCGCCTTCATCATGAGAATGGATTCGGTTATAGATTATGGGCCGTTCGCGTGTAGGAGGCGAGAATTTATGCGTTGCTCGAGGCGGACTGGACTTGTTATCATTAGCAAGTACTGTTGGTTGAAAAGAAAGATAGGCCCACGCTTTGGCTTTCGTCGATCGGTGACGGCATAGCTACTGCCACGATTTCGGTATAATATGGAGGGAGGTTGAGGTACTTGAAGCTTTTATCAAGGTGTGGCTGTTTGGAGGAGTAGGTTGTTTGGCAAAGGGTTCTGTGACAATCTGTCGCGTGAATGTCTAAATCTGCTATGCGTTAAACAAGCTTCAGAGGAGCCCCTCAAGTGAATGGAAGGCATACAAGGCGACTGGCAATCTAAACCCCTTAATTTTGTAGGGGATATTCGCAGTCCACATCGTCTCTGAGCAACATGAATGTAAGTTCTTTGTTGGGATGTTGGGATGTTAGCCGGTTTGTTGCTTGCCTGCTCCGCAGGAGGCAAACAGAGCCTTACTGATGAGACTGTGGATTATTTCGGGTGTTGTTTCCTTATTAATGATGTATTTTATACGAATTGATCTTGTATGGGTGCTATGTTAGGTTATAATTTATTTGAATGTCGTCGGGTGAGGCTCAATTCCAGGTTGTCGACAGGGACCTGTTTGGAGTCGCCGGAATTTAACCGAGATCATGAAAGGGAGTGAAGTTCAATTATTTCCGAAAGCGTTGTGTGATGTGTTCTTCATACTTCTACCAGTGAAAGTTTGCCAGATGTAAACATAAAAAAGATTATCAATATACATGACCAAAGTGTACCATACCTAATCACTAAACACAACTTACGAGTTAGGGAAAGCATGACAAGGAAGTTTGATAGTTGCTTTGTATATTGTCACGGGATTAGTACCCTCATGGATGTCAAATAAGTGCCAAAAGCACCAACTTCTCGTGCATATATAGACATCCTGAGTCCCTGAATTAAACTCAGAAGAGTGTTCTTCACCACCTATTTACTACGTGATTTAAGCGTAGCTTACTACAATTCCAACTTTTTTTCCTAGAGGCCCCCTTTTCAATCCGGATTAATGGTTATTCCGTTGTAATCCTATTTTGCCGCCGCTCTGTCAATTGCAGTGACTATTACTCGAGTACTCGAGCACGCTAGCCTTACTGTACGGCGACTTCACGAGTTTTCACCTTAGCTCACTTCTCTACTCGGCGTAAAAATACTATTAATTTATTAATCAACCTCTTAAAGCTTTTAGAGCGTAGCGAATAAAGGCCTCCACGGTAGTGGCCCCCCGAGAGGGGGTTTTCATTCAAGTTACATTCTTCTTGGCAGCATTATTTACCTGGAATTATGATAGGAGTATTTCATGACTAGATCTGGGCAATCTTTCCTCATATTTCCTCTCCCAGCACCTCACTTCCCCCTACTCCCAAAACCGAACAAGTCCCCCTAATAATCCTAGACACCACCCCCAAAGTCTTCCTCATCATATGCTATCACGGTCATCTTTTGCATTCACTCTGGGAGGCTGTCGATCTTTTAGCGAGCAAAATTAAAGCCAGTCTGATTGTCAGATCTCAAATGCCAAGTTTTCCTATGTGCGATAGTCACGCCGCCAATAACTTTGGCATTATCGACAGGAAAACATAGATTTCAAACTACCTATGATGGAGGGTGTGTAGTATAATGATAAAAAACAAGGCAATCGTACATGAGTGCAGAAGACTGTTCTATTGTTAATAACCGCTTGCTTTACTAGTCCTTGGTAGTGTGTCAGGGGCTGAGGATTCGCTTACATGCAAAGGTGCCAAAGGTGATTGATTTTATTTCGCAATACTATAAATCCACGACAGCCCGCTGCTCTTCCTGGACTTCCAATAACAATGAAAGATGAACATTGTTGCAAGAAGCAAAATAACCACGGAAATTTCAATTTCTGCTGTGCAAAAACTATGATTCTCCGTTCTCGCTTAATTTCAACGTTAGTAAAACCTCGACACCACAACCTCAAAAAAGTTAACGTGCATCACCTTTCGAGGGCAAAAATTCAATGCTATCGGCGGGAATCGAACCCGCGGCCAGCGCATACTTATCTATCCAGTAAACTGAATAGCCAATCAATTATCTTGGGAAGCGCTGATTTTACCACTAAACCACGACAGCATTTATGGGATTTTTTTGAGTTATTAGATAATAAATTATTGAAATCTCGTGCCGTTTTATCATTCTTGGTTTTCACCATGCCACGACGGCTATATGTGCAGAAGGAGGTGCCCCAGGGGGAAGCTGGCTCCAGCCCCATCTTTTGCCCAGACTCATGTCTGATTTCGACTGGGAAAATGAGCCTCAACCTCGTGAGCTCCAATTGAAGGTTGTGAAGACGAGACAAATCGACTGCAGGACAGGATATAAAGGCTAATAGGCTGCGTTCAAGGTGAGCACAGGCTCTTCAGGAAAATCCTCATCACCGTACTGGTTCTCTCCTATCTTCACCATAGCTTCAGCAAGAACCATGAAGCATATTTGAAGATTGGCGCAACTTAATACTTCGATAACAAGAGTGTTTCGATCGTGCAAGACATTCATGCAGAGCAGCTGCAAGGGCCGTGAATTGATCTCGCTCTAGGCAAGCTTAAAAGCATGTTGCTACGGCTCCAATGCCAGCGAACCCGTCAATCACGTCACGTTCGCACAAAGCTATCGACCTACTGTAACGGAGCAATCAGTTTTACTAACCATGGCCGGGACCTGAAGCGGCCGCTACGTGGGAGTTTATTGAGTACATGGTGGAGAACAACATTGTGACTATGCCAAACATCACAGTAGTGACAGGGACAGTGAAGTCCATTTCTGAGATCGAACGAATTTGTCATGGGAATTTCCGCATGGAGAAGGTGGGCATTGAGCATCCTTTGCAGGTATTGATCACGGGAGAACGTGTTCGTAGACTGTGCTAATCATTCTAATCGAGCTTGTGTACAATAGAGCTTGAGGTTTGTTAAAATAAAGCCATGGTCGAACAAACGGGGCTCTTCTCTGGCCCTTTCCCGAAGTCGTACAAATGTAACATCCCACCTCTGTATTATCTTGCCGAATCTCGTATATACCTTCCTAGATCGAATTGTTCCGTCTTAAAATTAGGTCAGGTATTTGGGCGCTAGGAAGGAAGCTTTTTCCCAACGGATTTGTGCAACCTACTGTCTTTTTCGTCTCATCACTATTTCAGTAGTGGTCCTTCCCATCCATCCCAACAACACATGTGAGGATTGTATACAAATAGTACACCAGAACCCTGTTTGAAACACTACTTCAAAATTTCGGTTCCCCCATATGTGACAACATCTAGCTCATACGCAAGTCGAGCCACCAGTTGTAACCGAATAGCAGTTTAAAGGCGTCATCCACGTACGTGCCTGAGCATGTCCACCTAGATAGGCACCAAGTATTGCAACAAGTTTTCGCTGCTGCGTTGCAAGAATAGTGGTGGTGCAAGAGTCATGGATTGGTTGAGGATATGGATGGAGATGGGTTCTGGGAGAATGCTTGTGGTGAGGCCGAAGAGATTAAGGTTAAAGTTGCTGTTCTCGAGGTGATTTTAAGAACACTTACTGTAGGGCTGCTGACCGAGTAGATTCAGACAGATGTTAGGGTCTATGACTCGAAAAGTATGTCAATGAATACTATAAACAATGCCTGCCTAGAATGAGCAAAAAGACCTGGTTCATGTATCATTGGGGGCGATGGGGAGTTTTTATTTATTTATGTGTTTCAAGTATATATTCGGGCGGATGCAGTGCTTGGAGTAAGAATATCATGGTTACGATTGAGGAAAAAATAAATTGCTGTGATAAGGTTACTACTACCTCTTGTGAAATTGCGCGGGTCTGTAAGGTTACAGTAGGGCGGCGTAAGAATCCGCTAAAGCAGCGTCCAGGGAGCCACTTTAAAAGTTGGAACCGCCCACAGCCTTACGATCGAAGGCTGAACATTTCAAGCAACTCCCAAGCCACATCAATCATGAGTTCCAAAATTGAGAAGATCATTGTCCGTCTGCAGGAGAAGTGAGATCCCCTTCAACATACCATATATCACCAGCCTACTGACCACCATCTAGAATTGGCGCAGGAGAGTTCTACGAAGCACAGCAGCAGACCCGCGTTGTCGCCGCACGATATATCAAACAAGAGAACTGGCCAGCAGCAACAGACATCCTCTTCAACAGCGCATCAGCACTTCTGAAGGCAGGCCAGGGTGGAAGTGGAGGGGATCTAGGACTGTTCTTGATCGACGTGTATAAACAGGCGGGCCTGAAGCCGGACTCGAGCAATAAGGGAAAGCTATTGACGTTACTGCGACAGTTCAGTAGTGAGGAACCGACGAGGAAGAAATTTGTTGGGGAGATGATTGTGTAGGTGCCGTGCTAGAAATGGAAACATTGAGGCTGATAATTGGTAGATGGTCCTCGAAGCATGGCGATTACCCCGCGGGCGAACCGGATTTACACCATGTCGCAGGCTCTCTATATGCGGAGGAGGCAGAACCATATGATGCAGAACGGCATCTAACACTCGGAACGAAAGACTCACCAGAGATATTTGTGAAGATGGAGTATGAGTGGTACAAACAGGACGATTCCCATACTGCCGCACTTTACGCCGCCCGAGTCGTATTCCCATATCTTCTAGCTGGCAATGTCCGCGATGCTTCGAAATCCTTACGACTGTTTACGAGCAGGCTGGCGGAGGACAATAATAGTTTGACGGTGCAGGATGTGAGCAGTAATAGCTCGGACATGAGGATTTACCCAAGTTTGCCACTGCTAAACTTCCTGGGCCTGCTAGTGCTTGCGGTGCAGAAGGGGGCACCGGACCTATTCAAGCAGCTGAAGACGAAATATCGTTCATATATCAAGGAGGTAGGAATCTGGGATGATGCATTGGTGGCCATAGCGGAGATGTACTTTGGTATCCAAAGACCACGGCAGGGCAATCCACTCATGGATATGATGGGCAGCATGTTTGGAGGTGGAAGAGAGCCAGGCAACCCACAGCCTAAACGCGTAGGAGCTTCAACACCAGTGGCAGAAGGTCTAGACTGAATGCCAGAATCTTCCAAAGTCGCAAATTCTCACTGCAATTTAATGTCACAGACCTGGGTATATCCAATCCAACGCCGTTATGCAAAAACCCGGTGCAACCTCCCAAGCACTACCGGACGATAGGTTCTTCTGCCTCATACATCCAGTTGTCATCTGCCAAACTCGCGACTTTCGCTCGTAGACTGGCTTTCACAGCCTCGAGAAGTTCTACTAAAATCAGTACCCAGCCATCGAACGATCGCGATTCCACATACCCGTAGGCTCACTAGGAGCACGGTTTCGATCCCGATGATGCTTAACCGCATCCTTTAACCTCTGCCTCTCCTCTGCCATCCCATCAGCACAGTCCGCCCATAATCAAGCAATGAACTCTTACTTTCATCCTCCTGCGCCTCGCCCTCGGCCGCCTCCTCCTGCTCGTCAAACGACTGCATAGGTGGGTCCCCTATCTCGAACTCCCCATTCTTATCGCGGATGACAATCTCGGAGGTGTCGAGGTCCCGGTCGTTGCTCTCGAGGCGGAGCGTTTCGGCCGATGTGGAGGTCGAGGAGGTGGTTGGGCGGCGGGAGAGCTGGCCGTGGAAGAGGTTGCGACGGACGCTGGCCGTGCGGTGGGTTGTGGTCGTTGGGAGAGGCTGGCGGCGTTCGGGCATTGTTTGGAGGCGTCTTTATGTTAGGTTGTTAGTAGAAGGTTGAGAGAAACGAATGTAGTGAGTGTAAAGTTTAGAGGGGAGGGTAGTGGTGGTGTTGTTTACGTCGAGGAGAGCTCGCTTGTGTTGGCGGGGTTGTCTGCGACTAGGTTGGTCGACATCCAGTTTACCTCCATAATGAGCCTCTCTTTCACATCAACTCATTATCCATTAATTTCAGAACGTTATGTTATTTAAGTCATGTCCTGGGTCATAGATGCAACATGACAACATCATTTGATATCCAGCCTATTGGGCGCTTTGTCGGTCAAAGTGCAGCTATCAAAAGACCACGGGTAGGACTCTCTTGCGACGCCTTTTTTTTGACTTTCATCCAACCTTGTTTAACTTATCCTATTATTCCCTTTTCTAAGCTCTATTTCTAATCCACTGCAAAATTAATTGGGCACCTGATTTGTAGACACCCCTAGTTTGCAGAGACGGACATTTCCCTCGGTGCTTTTTGGATGCAGCAGCGAGACCTCAATGGAAGCGTTCTATTTTCTTTGGATATTCAAGTGAGCTGACAATAGACATAGGAAATAGCATGTTTCTCATACGACGACAAACATCAATTCAAGCTGGATGATTCGTCCATCAGATATTATTATCCTCCAACATTAGGAGCGGATCTCTCTAAAGGATTTGATACCTTCGAGAAGATGGATGACACCGCGGATGATCATCTTGATAGCCTTCTTGAGACCATCGTGGCCCATGAAGAGAAGACCGGAAGCCGTGTCGAAGCGGAGTTTGTCACATGGCGAGGAATGATGACTAAGGTAAATCAAGCCTACGCTTCTGCTTCGGCAAGCAAGTACCATGCTAATGCTGCAATAGTTTATGGCCGCACTATTTAGTGATAGAGATGGGTGAGATCGAATCATCCAATATCATGATCCTCTAGTTGACTATCCTAGTTTTGAGATGAACGCCACTCTCTTCCAAGTGGGCACACATCCTCGTCAAAGACCTCTTGGGAAAAGCTGACAAGATTTAAGGATACTATGTAGGCTTTCGACTACTTCACTGATTCATGTCGCTCACTTTGACAGCTTCATTGAAGAAAACCACGGCTACAAACTTCAATCACAGAGAAGACAGTCTCAACAGGTGTCGCAACCGGGCCGTCCTTCACAGGATATGATGAGTTTCTGGGGTAAGGCGACCCGAGAAGTCTTCGCAATCGATCATTGACACGATTAGGCTACAAGTTCGAGACATTATGCTTGTTGCCTGCACCTTGGGGTGAAACTTCTCGTAGCTACATAGAGAATCGGGAAGAAGAAATCGTCAACAATTACGCGCAATATTGTTCTGTTGTAAGGACGGGAATTGGCAACAATGTCATGATTTTGGGTGGGGAAGTTGATGCT